GAGGGGAGAAGGGGTAGGTTTTTGTATTCTTGCTGTTGGCAGGAAAGCTAAGCAGTCTTAAAGAACATTCTAGGCTTCTAGGTTTGCCATGAAGGGGTATCACAAATCCCAAGGCCCACCACCTACCCCTTCTCCTCTTCTCCGAGGGCACCTACCTTACTGTAAGTCACTACTGATAAGTTGTTTGCGTGACTGCTGGGGGACAGATTTACAGAGTTCTGTGAGAGTCTATTCTCATCTTGCTCGGTTTGGTCAGGAGCAGGAGCCCATGTGTTTTTGCTGATCGAGTCGAACTCGGAACCCCCAGGGTCTTTTAAGTTGTTTTCATCTGATTGTCGGTTCTTTTGGGGAGAGGCAAACGGGTTGAAGTTTCCTTCTACCTTGCGATGCGGCTGTGTGTTGAACTCCGTTTCAAAAGATGACAGCTGCTGCGTTACTCCTAAAAGTCCACCCACCTCCACACTGAGAATCACCCAGATGACATCTGAAACAAAAAGGCAACTCACATCAATGACAGGCATACCCTAAAGGCCCACAGCAGCCACCGCCAAAAACCCCAACCATCACCCAAAGCATAAAGAGCTAATTTTAAAAGCTTGCTGACAAAGTAGCGCAGTGCATTTGCACTGCGTGATTTTCTACATTTTTGGTAATGTCAAGTTCAAACTCCAGTACACATTCAGTAGAGGTCTATCATAAGACCCATGAAACTATTTGTGAAAAGGTTACCAGCTGATTCTGATGCACAGCCACATTTGGAAATCACTGCTCCAGAGAACAATCATCTTTAGGTAGAAACCCAAAAGCTATTTTCCCAGAATTATAATCTCTTTGTGGTTTTTGCTTTATTTTGAATGTATATAACTTAGAAAACTCAGGGCAGGCATAATTCTTGAGCCAAAAAATGCTTATAATTACTATAATAAGCAACCTATCAACTGTCCCCTCCCTACCTCTAGCAATTTAGAGTGACTACATATTGTCTGAACTAGGACAACTGAGAATAAAGGGGGAAGCTATTAATAATGACACCAGGACATAAGTGTAAACCAGCACTAACCCTGACTATTAAGACAAATATCACCTAGGGTGTTTTTTCTCCTAACAACCTATGTGATCAAAGGATACCAAAAATTTAGTCTGTCCCAGACTTTCTAAAATAATCCAATTCAACACCAACTTTGCCTTTGTTATAATAGAGGGACACCCCACCATCTACATTGAAACCATAAGAGATTTGTTTTAGAAGATGCACCACAGGACTTTTGGTCATAATTCAGTTATTTTCTCAACTGCCAAAGCTAAGTGTTCAAATAGAAGAATAAAGAAAGAGGCCGTTTCCTTTGATGTTTGGCACCTCAATTTAGAGAACAGTGACATCAACTTTCCTGCTGGAAGGCTTTTAAAAAGCAAGCTGCAGGGGCGCCTGGGTGGCACAGTCGGTTAAGCATCCGACTTCAGCCAGGTCACGATCTCGCGGTTCGTGAGTTCGAGCCCCGCGTCGGGCTCTGGGCTGATGGCTCAGAGCCTGGAGCCTGTTTCCGATTCTGTGTCTCCCTCTCTCTCTGCCCCTCCCCCGTTCATGCTCTGTCTCTCTCTGTCCCAAAAATAAATAAACATTGAAAAAAAAATTAAAAAAAAAAAAAAAAAGCAAGCAAGCTGCAGGAAGGCCAAGAAGTGGGAACCCAGCTGAAAAAAATATGAAAATCTGTCCAAGGCTCTTAAATAACTGCTGAATGATTGATAAGAAAAGGCTAATAAAATTCATCGGTTACCTAAACAGAAATACAGGTAATATTAAGCCTAGGGGGGAAAAAAACACTAAAAAGTATAGTGAGGAGACTGAGGAAAACCCTCTTGGGCTGTGCTTATTCTCAATTTTCAATTTGGGTTCTGTATCTGAGGACGGCCATAAATACTCAATTTGTGTTCAGTGGTTTGGGAGCTCTATTAAAAACTTGGTTGCAAGCGAACAGCTAGGAGCTAGAACCCTAGTAAGTGGAGATGCAGTGCCACCTGCTGTTCACTTCTGGAACTAGCAATTCTTTGCAGCCACTAGCTGTGCTAGCATGTTAGGAATGGGGATCCATTCCAAACACTTTTCATTAAGGCAAAGGTGAATCCTCATGTAAACTAGTAGCATAAAAGTTCAACCTGTTAATTAACATTGTAAGCCAGGATATTCAGCATGCCACTTCACTCAGAAATCTGGGGCAGTGCCAGGAATAGTGGGTCAGAGAACTTTCATTCAAAGCTTGAAGTCAATCTCATAAACGAACATGATGTATGGCCTTAAAGAACAATTCAATGGCAGGCACCTGAGGGAGATTCATTCCATGCTTTCCTCTCCTAGCTTTCTAACCAAAGGCAACATTTCTTCACTCTACTGTTTGTTTTCCCTAAACAGATATGCCCTGTCTTACAGCATATTAATTCTTACTTCTTCTCTTTCACCCCTCTGTTTTCCAAAATCCTTTTGTAAGTACATAATGTTTTACATACTCAGCTACAGGTCATGTGCTTCCTTCACTTTACTTATGGGAAAGGATAGTCTTCTGAAGACTGTTATCAGTATATGAGGCTAATGACATTTTCCTCCCTGGCTTTAAGAGCTAAAGCTTCTTTCATATAACTCATAGAGCCATGTCACATGTAAGCCACTGCACTCTCTTCACCTTGGCTATTCTCCTGTACTGTTCACAGGCTAAATACAGTAGCTGTAAAGAGAAGGTCATTTAAGAAACCATTGGTTTATAAACGCAAACAATGAACACTCCAGTTCTGATCTTCTAAATATATGTCTTCTACATGGTTCAATCTCAGCCATGTAGGTACTACCACTAGCCTTCGCATTTCAGAATGTGTCCATTCCAATCATGGTGTGTGTGTGTGTGAGTGTGTGTTAAACAAATAAAAACAGTGACAGAAATGGACCCAATAAGCTTGTTTCAGAGAGGCTGACCATTTCCAGTTCTTGCCAGATGCCTTAATTACTGAGATAAGAACTGCCAGCCACGTTATTTTATTACTTGTGATGATAAAATCATAGCTGTAAGAAATCTTAGGGGTCATCTAATGGAACAGCTGCACTTTCTTGATAAAGGATCTGAGGTCTGGAGGTAGAAGTGATGGGCCCAAGATCAGATTTCAAGTTAAAAGCCAACTTACATGGTGACTGAGAACGCTCAACTCAGAGTAACTGGTATAGCTCATATTTATTTTTCCTCAACAGGAACTTGAGAACCCAAGAATCCAGGGAACTAAAGCTATAGTTAAGTCAGTCTTATTTCCCAGGCCAAAGTATCTTTACCCACAAACATATATGATCTTTGGCACCGATAATAAGAACGGGCCAACATTCTAGGATGTCCTAGAAAAGTAGCCAATAAAATAGAACCAAGTGCCAAGCCTACACATTCAGGGCTTAAGAGCAAATGGAGAAACTGATTTTAGAACGTGTTGCCTTAAGGTGGTTTTCAAAAAGCACCTGGACCAGGACTTTGGAACTAGATGGTACTGTAAATATTGTTTCATTCAATTCGTCCCTTTTACATATAAAACCTTCAGCAAGTATATAACTTTAATAAGTATAAACTTCCTTTTGTAGAAATGTATGATAAATTACTGAAGAGAGAACATGAACTTTTTATTTCTTAAGTTTAGATTAGAAATGCAGAATAAAAGGGAAATATTTTACTTGAAGCCCAACTCCATAATCTTAATGAACCATGGTGATATACAAAGACATCTCAGATTATGGTGGATATGTTAAAAACGTATCTAAAAGCTAGCATCACAGATCAAATCACATTATAATAAACATAAATAAACATTTACAATTTGTCCACCAAAATAGAATTGCTACAAATCAGTACAATATTTAAACTGGTAAATTTGTTTCTTGTGGGGATATGGGTTATAAGACAGGCACACCATGGGTACATGTGTACTGGGGATGAACAGTGAAATGGTGGGAGCAAGGTTCCTCATTGTTGAAGAAGGATATTATAGATGAGCAAGAAAAGAAAACATTCTAAAATGAACTCTGTGGTACTAAATTAAAGTCTAAGACATCAATATAAACTCATGTTTATCTTGATATATATGCAGATGAAGAAACACAGAAACAATGATAGATATGTCGATATTCAGAGATTAGTATGTATACACATGCTACCCAGCTCTGCCTGCTGAGAAGGCCTAGAAGTAATGACAGCCCAGCAGCATTAAACATACCCAGTGGCCAGTGGTTTCTGAACTCCATTCTCCAATAAAAAGAACAAGGGTTCTCAGAAAAATGGCTGATTCTAGGGCTAAGTCATGGAAAATATAAAATGAGCCTGGACTATATTTGTAGTATCAGAAAGTAAGGAAGTGTTCAAAAAAACCCCAAAAGGATAAGAGTATGTCAAAGGGATGCATGAGTCACCTAAAAGACCTCCCTCCGGCCAAAGCTGGAATAATTCGGGCAACAAGATAAATAACATAGTACTGGATTATAACTCAAAGTATAAAAAAAATACACATGAGCCCTTAGTGATATAAACAAATGATTAAATAAATTGATGAGAAGAGTCAAATTTCTTTACATAAGAACTCTAAATAAGGGGTCCTTGGCTCACTTACAACTCTTGATCTCAGCTCCAACTCTTGATCTCAGTTCAGGTCTTGATCTGAGGATCGTGAGTTCAAGCTCTGCGTTGAGCTCTGTGCTAGGTGAGAAGCCTTCTTAAAGAACTCCAAATAATACACGCAGATACTCCTCCTTCGAAGAGATGGAGTTTAATTCCATATATCTCCCAACCCATTTTGAGTATGGACTAGACTCAGTGATTTGCTTCCAAAGAACAGAGTAGGGAATGAAAAAAACAATAACTTTTACAACAGATAAACTGGCAACCAAACAATTTAATCAAGTGACCAATTTTAATCACTAGTGATGTTATGGAAACATCAGGTGCCCCCCTGGGAGGGCACTTCACCTCTGCAGCATTGTTCCCCAAACCTGTAACATCAGTCTAAATTGAGGAAAACATCATAAAGGCTCAACTGGGGGACATTATAAAAAGTAATTGCCAGTATTCCTCTAAACTATCATGGGTCATGAAAAATATGGAAAAGACTGACAAACTGTCAGGGATCAGAGGAGACTGAAAGACAACTACATGTAATGTGGTATCCTAGGACGGATTCTGGAGGTCATGAGTGGAAAAACTGGTAAAAACTAAAGTCTGTGCTCACTTTGGCAGTGCATATATTAAAACTGGAACGATACAGAGAAGATTAGTGTGGCCGCTGTGCAAGATGACATGAGAATTCGTGAAGTGTTCCACATTGTTTTTCAAAAATCTAAATAAAGTCTGGAATTTAGTTAATAGTAATGTGCCAATGTTGAGGTCTTCCTTCTAAAGAGTCGTCCATTCAACTAGACACACGAGTTCACTCTTCCATGCAGTGTGATGTCTCTCTTCTTCTGTGCAACCCCTTCTCAGTACACCAGTAAGGGCCAGTTAACAGTCTTCGAACGAACAGCAACAACTATACAAATAAGCCATCATCTGGATGTGCATGTTGGGCTGAAGCTGCCCAACGACATCCAGAGCTTGCTTCTGTGACAGAAGTCACTTACAGAAAGCAATAATCTGCCACATCAATATGTCCCACTTGGTCTGGACATCCCCAGGGAAAAGGCCAGGAGACTTGAGAAAGCACAACTTTTACATATTAAGTTTACAAAGACACCTCAAAATGGTTCAAACTGTGTCTAGGACTGAAATCTTGTAGGTTTCTGACGCCTAGAGCAAATGCCTTAGACTTGTCCCCAGGAGTCGTGAAACAATGCCACAACACCAGGAGACACAGCCTGGCTTTAGTCAGTGTGTACATCGAAGACTACCATGGAGGTCATATCTAGGTTTGGACGTCGTGAATTCAAATCCTAAAGCTCAATGCACCTTAAAGTGCAAGAGGAACATCACATTTCCCCTGAGGATTAAGAAACAACTTGGATCTGGAGAAGTAAAGAGGCTCTAATCGAACTGCTGGGCTAAAGCTATGGGTTCACATTTCATCTCTGTAGGAGGGCTGGATATGTACTGCCCAGCTTCCATGACAGTGGCTTGAAAGGTGAGAGTTTGAGCACTAGTAGTCTATGGACCGAAACTTGCTAGACAGTAAGCAATTCAAAGGTCAGTGTTATGAGCAAGTCTCAACATACTTGTGTCTGTCTCTAGGAACTACCAAGGCAGCAGTGTTTGTGTACCACTGTGAAAAAAGGCACTTCCACCAGTTGTCCTTGTCTCAACTTCCCAGTCTCAACTTCCGATCTACATTTCCACCTTATTTACTCCACACAGAGCCTTGCTCCCATGACACGTGCCCATATACTTTTGCTATGTTTACCAACACACCACCTATCGCAGCATCTAAGGGGGAAGAAGGCTGAGCAGGCTCCAGTTCATCAGCTGCTCAGAGTGACTGCTGAAGGATAGCCTCTACTCAAACCCTGTTCCCTACCCATCCTCATTCCCCACCCCATCTTGCCACAAAAGCATTAGAACCTTGTACCTTGGTTTCAGTATTATTCTTCGGAATTTCCTTTTAAAATGCAAATGCCCCTCCAAGGAATATATTAAACTACCTTAATATATTAAGGCCATTATCAAATCAACAACATTATCAAATCAACCAATAGGCACAAGTTCAAAAAGGGGAGAGGAAAGGGCCTAAGAAAGAGCAGCGAAAGCCTGGATGAGAGGGGAGGGGAGGGGAGGGGAGGGGAGGAGAGGAGAGGAGAGGAGAGGGGAGAGGAGAGGAGAGGAGAGAGGAGAGGAGAGGAGAGGAGAGGAGAAGAGAAGGGTTCCTGGGGCCCTGTGTAACAGGGAGAGGGGCTTGGAAAGAAAAGCTGAAACGGCAACAAAGAAACTATTCCTACTTCACAATTTTCCCAAATCATGCCCTATTTACCAATTATGAGCTCTCACCTTAATTTAGGGGTGGGGTGGGAGACTACAGTGATGATTTAATTACTTAACTGCTTGCTTCAGTCATAGGAAACAAAAATCTATACTTCCCAAATCCAGTAAATCAGTGCCATGGAACTGAAAGAGTAAAAATGTATCTGAGATAAAAGATGGAAATCAGCTCAGAATGAAAAATGAAAAAAAATAACCCTACCATGAACTGGGCTTGAAGTACAGACACTTACTTATAGATAGAGGCAGGTGCAAAGTTAACAGGACACATTATTTCTCCCAAGGTCAGGCAGCCCCTATAAAATGCTGTTAACAACCCTCCGAGTGACTATTGCTTTCTTACCAATGATGCCCCCAGACCCATTCTGTTATAGCATCTATTACTGAGGATACCCAAATGTTAAACTGCCCCTGCCTCAAGATAGCATTCAAACCCTAATTAACCCCCCCTTCTAATCCTGCCTCAGAAATAGCTGCCAATCCCAAATTGATCCCCATTTTCCTTAGAGCTTTCTCAGAATCCTTCAGCAAGAACCCAAACCTTACAAAGGCTGCTTCCCTCCTCCCTCTTGTTGTATGGCATTCCAGAGTTCCCCTGAAATGCCTGCCCTCACCATATTAGCATCAATAAATCTGGTTGTGTCAGATGCAGGCTTGTTTCAGGTGACCTTTGAAACCAGAAGCCTTCATCTCTTCCCCCTCTTGGCTTCAACTTATAGACGCAGAGACTCCAGCCCTTCCTATTTCCCTTCTGGTACAGACAGCCCTCCCCTGAAGTGGGCCCAGCTGGCCCAGCCACCAGCTGACATTATAGGCAAGAGGAATGCATTCATTCAATGGTAAGACGGTGAGAAAAAAGACAGAAGGAACAGCCTCAAGAATGAAGAAAACACAGGGACACCTGGGTGGCTCAGTCAGCTGAGCATCCATCAGGTCATGATCTCGTGGTCGGTTCGTGAGTTCAAGTCCCACATCGGGCTTGCTGCTGTCAGCACGGAGCCCACTTTGGAGCCCACTTCGGATCCTCTGTCTGCCTCTCACTCTGCCCCCCCCACCACTTGTGCTCTCTCAAACATAAATAAACATTAAAAAAAAAGAATAGGGGCGTTCGCTTTCAAACGTCCCCTCTCTGTAAAGAGAGCTTTCCTATTATTCTTACTTTCTTATCTTATTAACAAAACAAAAAATAAAAAAAGAACAAAGAAAACACAGAAGTAGAAGCCTAGTCACAAATGTTTCAAGGAGGACAGTCATCAACTGGGTCCAGTGCAACTAATAATTCAAGTAAGTTGCGAAGTGAGAACAAAGCATGGAATATAGTATCATGCAGGTCACTGGTGTTTTGGAAAGAGGAGTTTCAGTGGTGCGGACAGAAGCCTGATGGAAAGAATTCAAGAGTCTAGAAATCAGGAGGTGGAGACAGCCATTACTGATACAAAATTTTCCAAGGAATTTTTCTATGAAGGAGAGCAGTGAAATGGGGAAGAAACTGGAGGAGGAAAATAATAGCATTATATGTAACAGCAAGAATTTTTTAAAAACTTGAATGTCCATCAATAGTGACTGGCTGTAAAAATGATGACATTCTACCAGAGGGGATACTCCACAGTCATAAAAAGAAATGAGGATTTCTAGAGTGATCTCTGGAATATATTATTAAGTGGGGGGGAAAAAAGTAAGATGCAGATCAGTATCTTTAGTTATGATACTTTTGTGTAAGAAAAGGGTCAAATTTCTATGTGTTGGCTAGTATTTGCAAAACAACATTGAACAGATAAACCATAAATAAATAAAAATGAGTATCTTAGGGGGAGGAAGGGACTGGCTGAAGGAGGAAGTAATGGGAAACTTCTCTAAATATTCCTAAATTGTGACTTAGAAATAGTAGAAATGTCTTAGATAATGAAGAAAAAAAACCCAGCCAAACAACAACAACAAAAAGAAAACAAAAACAAACAACCTAGGTCAAAGGGAAACACAGTAAGGACTGGAGATCAATTCTGTAGGATGGTGATTGGCATAGGATAGGTGCACAATAAATAGCAAATTATCTATGCACAATTTAAGCAGCACCATTTAAGTAGCATTAAAAAAACAAACAAAATATGTTTACGGTGTTGCCATGTTGGAAGTTAGTCAATGTTAAGAGTAATGTCTGATGACTGGCTATGTCTAGTTAGAGGACTATGACAATGACAGTAAACAAAAAGCAGATAAGGCCTCCTTACTTGGGCAAGTTAACATTTAATGTTGTAACTTAAAAATCAACTACTTTGATAAGACTGGGCATTAACTTGTCAGTGAACACCACCTGTGGTATGGAAGACAACACCACAAAATAGTAGCCAGTTTTCAATCAAGCATATTACTTTACAGCAGACTGCTCTGCAGACCACCTACATCAAGAACATGAGGGCTATGTGTGAAAAAAACAGATTCCTGGATCCCTAACTGCAATGAACTAAAATAGGTTTCATATATAAAATCTAAGAGTTTATGATACCTATAAAAAGGGTATTTCACCTTTAACTTTTCCTCCTCATTCATTAGTTTCACTGAAAGCAACTAGAGCACCAACTCCTTCCTCTAAAAATTGGCAAGTAAAGGTAAAGAATCAAGCACTGAGTCTAGCCTGACTGTAAAACTGAATTGCAAGATATCACTGTTGATGAAGAAAACTTTTCTTTTTATCCCAGAACTACTCCAGCTAATAATGTGGGTGGAAGAAATAATCACTTTGTAACCCCTGATGAAATGACTTAGGCAATAATCATCAATGAATAAAAGCCATTAGGCTAAAGGTTGCTTGAGAAGGAGGACCTCCGCAATGGAGGGATCAGGCAGTCACTACTTGAACCCTTTGATCGCTCTCGGCATCACTAAAACCATAACAATTTTCAAAAGCCAAAACAATTTTGAAAAAAGAATGACATTGGAAGTCTCACACTTCCTGATTTTAAAACTTACTAAAATACTACAGTAATCAAAATAGTGTGGCACTGGTAAAAAGATGTACAGATCAACAGAAGAAAAGAGAGACAGTTCAGAAGCAAACCCTCCCATATATGGCCAAATGATTTCTGACAAGGCTGGCATGGCCATTCAAAAGGGAAAGGACAGGGCGCCTGGGTGGCTCAGTCAGTTGGGCGTCCGAATTCGGCTCAGGTCATGGTATCACAGTTCATTGGCTTGAGGCCTGCATCAGGCTCTGTGCTGACAGCTCAGAGCCTGGAGCCTGCTTCGAATTCTGTGTCTGCCTCTCTCGCTGCCTCTCCCCAGCTCATACTCTGTCTCTCTCACTCTCAAAAATAAAATAAAAATGTTAAAAAAAATTTTTTAAAGGGAAGGGACAGTCTTTTCAACAA